TCCTTTAAGGAGGGTGGAGTTGGCCAGATGTGGTGGCTCATGCCTGTAATCCCACCACTTTGGGAGGCCAAGGTGGGCAGATCACCTGAGGTCAGGAGATGAAGACCAGCCTGGCCAACATGTCAAAACCATGTCTCTACTAAAAACTACAAAAATTAGCCAGGTGTGGTGGTGAGCACCTGTCATCCCAGCTACTCGGGAAGCTGAGGCAGGGAGAATTGCTTGAACCAGGGAGGCAGAGGTTGCAGTGAGCTGAGATCATGCCACTGCACTCCAGCCTGGACAACAGAGCAAGACTCTGTCTTAAAAAAAAAAAAAAAAAAAAAAAAAAAAAAAAAAACATGGAGGGTGGAGTTTTTTTTTTGGATAGCAAAAAAAGTACCACTGGAAAATCTTGATCCTGTCTAGGGTTGGCTTTAGACTTCATTCAGGCTGTTCTGTTTTCATTTTGCTCTTATTCATGCAATGTGGTTCTTATTCCTAAGGTTAAGTGAAGAAGAAGAAGCAAGAAAAGAGTTCCACTTCATTTTCAGAGGGTATTTTCCCTGATTATAGATTTCTATGTGGATTTTTTTTTCTTTTAGCATGTTATAGATGTCATTCCATTGTCTTCTGACTTCCATTATTGCTGATTAAAAGCCAGGTGTAATTCATATTCTTGTTCTCCTATATTTAATATATCTTTTTCCTTTGGCTGCTTTAGAGATTTTTCATCTATGGTTTTAAATAGTTTGGTGTGTGCCAGTGTGATATGCTGATTATTTATTCTTTGGGGGATTTTCCACCTTTCTTAGATTGGTAAATTTATGCTTCCCATCATCTGGGCCAAATTTGGGGCATTATTTCCAAAATTTTTTTTTGCCCTATTTTCTTTCTGCTTTCTTTCTGGAATTCCATTTCAGAAAGTACAAATTTTGCAAATTAGATAATTATACTAATGGGGTTTAGAATTTTCATTTCTTTCTTTTGGCTTCCATTTCTCTACTGTGATTCTCTATTTGTTCATTTTCCACTTGTTCATTCATTTTCCTTTAAATACCTGAACATATTTATAATAGTTACTTATTCTTTCCTGCCAATTCCTCCTATATCTGGGCCATGTCAGGATCAGTTTCTATTGACTGCTTTCTCTTCAGTATAGGTCACTTTTGTGTGTTTTTCACTTGTCTATATTTGTTTGTTGGGTTTGTTGGTTGGTTTGTTTAGAAACAGAGTCTTGCTATGTTTCCCTGGGCTGATTTTGAACTCCTGGGCTCAAGTGATCCTCCCTTGTCAGCTTCCCAAGTGGCTGGGACTATAGACGTGCACCATCGTGTCCAGCCTATTAAATTTTTTGTTGTTAATTATCCATTGTAGGGAGTCTGTATCATGTTGTTTTCTTTTAATGGGTGTTGTTTCATTCTTATAAATTTCCCTGGTCCTGTCTGATTTCATATTATTCTTCGTTACAGTTTGTGCTATGGAGAAACAAGATTTTGAATTTTGCTCTAAGACATGCTTTTTCGCCTGATTGTTGCTTTTAAGGCAAGGCCTTTCTAGCATCTCAATTGAATCCCTGAAGTGCTCAATGAGGTCTCGCTGCCCTGCTGCGATGGAACTCCAACGTCTCTCAACAATGCACTACATGCAGCAGGTAATCTGTGTTAGGCCTTGCAGAGTTTTGTCATGTCTATATTCAGCTCAGCTGTTGGCCAAGGACTGGTGGTGAATCTCCATGTAGACTTGTGGGGGAGTCCCTTTTCCATAACTACCTATCTTCAGAAATTTCAGCTGCTTCAACAAACCAAAACTCCAGTCTCTCCCCCCTTAACTGAAACTTCTGCCTTACCTGTGTTCTACCTTCCTACATTCTAGAAAAACGTTTTTCTCTTCAGCAGAAAAACCTGGACAATTACAGGATAGTAGTGGAGCAAACTCAATATGTTTCCCTTCTCTCAAGGATCACAGCCGTGTGGGGCCTACTGTCCAATACCTGAGAAGGAGAGCTACTCAGGTACTTGTTACTCTCTCATTGCTGGAAGCAAAAGATTTTGGTACACTTTAATTTAAAGGCACACTGAGATTTAAATGATTGATACTATCACTTATCCTTTGGTTAGTGAGTGGCTATCTTAGGAGTTATTGCCTGAAGAAAAAGCCAGTTCAGACTGCAAGACAAATAACTATTTGGTTGAGAAGTAACTCTCCATTTTTAAAGGGTGGAGATGGCTCAGTAGTAAATGAGTTCTCTTACACTGCCCTGGGAGATTAGACAAACAATGGATCTAACTAAGAAAATAGACTGACTCATTTGGCTACAGTGCTATACAGAAGTTATAAGCAAACTAACATTAAGCTCCAGAAACAGAATTGGGTTCTGTATACTGTAAATGAATTTTACAGTCAATTCTGAGATTTCTCATTGAAGAAATCAAAAATCAGATGTTTAAATTAATAAATCTAAAGACACTGTGACCCTTTCTTTCCTTACCTCATCATCTGCTATAGCGAGGCTGAAGTCATATGCAATTTACTTCATTATTTATTAACTCTTCTTTAGGATGGTAGTTTTAATTGTAAAATAAGTAAGGTTTGCTGTAACCTTCTTTCCTCCTAATTTTCTTGAGCATTTCCTAACTATGTCTACTAGTGAACACTTTATCTTCAAAGTGAACGGGTCCATTGAGAGAATAACTACAGACAAGGAGTGAGTAAAGGCCTTCTTGGCACGACAAGAAGTTATGCTGGAGCTAAGTAACGGTTCATAAGTGAAAGGGGTGGAGAATGGGAGGGAAATGGAATCACAGATCTGGAAGAGACAAGTCATTGAGTCCAGACGGCCTCTAGACAGGTCAGGAAGGGGTGTTTGGGTGGACCCTTTTTTCACATCTGGATTTAGCTTCACTCGAACACTTTCAGCCTTTTGCCTTTCACCAAAACCAATTTCTTCTCTGCGAGACATGTGGCACTCCTCCTCCTCCTGCCCCAGGATGAGGTCCTCTGGGGTGGATTTAATTAGTTTTTGGGGATGGTCCATTCCTTTTCCAGGAGGTCTGTTTCAGGTTTAGGTCATTCCATTGGCCTCACCATCAACTGAAGGGCAGGTCTCCTGGCCACTCACTAATTCCCCGGGCGGAGAGGAAAGGCCTGTAAGCTGATGGTCACATTCCATGTACTTCTAACACCCCTTAGCTGTGAGGACACGATGTGCTGAGATGGGTGGAACTTGAGTTGGAGTTTTTAGGTGGTTTCAAATCGTATTCTCCATGAGAGAATCATACAACTGCCTACCTTTCCCAACATACACATCCACACTCCTACTTTATTCACGGTAGAAGTGAAACTTTGGATTTTGGCAATGTTTATGGTTCCTCGGAGCCAACCACCTTTTCTTTCCCAAGTGTCTGGATTTACTTCAAGAAACTGCGGGACAAAGAAGGGTGGAGGTAAGCTTTAGTTTATTCCCCTGCTTCATGGGGGAAGGAGGTTTGTGAGCAGAAGCATGGAGGTACATGAGAGACTTGTTGCTCTCCGGTGCCTATCATACCCTCCCCATGGCCGGCGTGCACACACGGCGAGCAGAAACTCTCCCCCGCCCCGCCGCCTGCCGCCGCATGCACCCTCCCTGCACCTCCCGCCCGACCGACCGACGCAGACCAAGCAGAACTTCCCTGGGTCGCGGCCCAGCGATACGGAGCGGCCCTGGCGAGGAGCCCTCCTCTTCCCGAGTCGTGGGTGGCGCGGTGCTTGTTTCCCTCCCCTCCCTTTCCGGACCCAAACGGGGATGTATCTGGGTCAGCCTGGGAGGGGCCGGACCTGCCAGGGACCAGCGTGGGGGAAGGGGGTGGCGATGACAGCATCTTTCAGGTTTTTGGCGTCTCTGAGCTTCGCCTCGTCCAGCCTCTCACCGCGCTAGTGGCCGGCGAGGGCTGACGCTCTGGCCAGCCCAGGCCCGAGGGTGGGCGGGAGAGAGGGAGAGCCCGTCCTTCCGATCTGGGCGGCACCCCCTCCCCCACGCCCTGCGAACAATTCGCCTCCCACACACACATAGAGGCGCACACTCTATTCCCCAGAGCACGCTCCTCGGGCGGGCAGTGAGTCCCTCCACCCCAGGAAAAGAGCAATGGAACAGTTCACGGCCGCCACGAGTTCCTGGTCTTCCTTCCTTTCCGGTGATAAACGGCGCTGCTACAAGCCAGCTACTGCTCAAAATGCTCCACCCGCGGGCCCGAGCCCCTCTCTCTTGGCTGGGCGGGGGCCCAGGTCCAGGACCGAGGGTCCCTTAACCTCCACAAGGCGCACAGGCTGAGCGCCCGGGCGGCGGGAGGTGCAAGGGCGCACACCCCGGGCGAACGCCTGGCTACCTCGGTTCCTCTCTGGGTGATCTTTTGCGCTCCGCAGCTCCGGAGAGGAGCTGGATGTGCGTAAAAACTGCATCTTTCCTGGGTACTTTGGCAGATACTGCTGGGTTAGGTCCCGAGGGTCATGTACCCTCCAAGTTCCCCTCCCTGTGGGCTCTGTATATAAGCCCAGCACCAAGGAATCAAAGCCAACAGGTCATTTCGCTGAGGCCTGGCCCCTCCCTAATCTTGCCCTGCATAGACGCGGCAGCTCCAAATTTACAAGTGCTAGCTCTTCATCCCAGCGTCAGGGAGAGAAGCGAAGCAATGAGTTGAGAATCATCTCTGGATTCTTGTATCCCATGCATAGTAATCTCCTTATCCCCCAGCCCCCTTCCTCGTTGCCCCACATTGCACGCTCAGGGACTTGTTTGCCAGCGGATGGCCTCGGCAATCCGGACCGCGCGCTCCTACAGCCCACGGATGCTCTTTGCCCCAGCTTCCCTAAAGGTGCCTGTATTCGCGTGTGCTCGTAACCATGCTGCGGTGTTCCCCCTTCCCCGCCTCACCTCATCCCCAGACATTTCTTGCCATCATTTCATGCACCCTTGTCTAAAACCCCGCGCTTCTCCCCACCCCCGCCAGGCGCAGCACCCCCTCCCTCGGCTGCGCCCGGAGGGGAGCAGAGCGGACAGGGGCGCGCGGGAGGCGCGCAGAGCTTTCGGGCTGCAGGCGCTCGCCGCGCCTGGGGAATTGGGCTGTGGGCGAGGCGGCCCGGGCTGGCCTTTATCGCTCGCCGGGCCCATCGTTTGAAACTTTATCAGCGAGTCTCGCCACTCGTCGCAGACGCGAGCGGGGGGCGGGGGCGCGGCGAGGCGCCGGCGGCCGTGACGAGGCGCTCCCGGAGCTGAGCGCTTCTGCTCTGGGCACGCATGGCGCCCGCACACGGAGTCTGACCTGATGCAGACGCAAGGGGGTTAATATGAACGCCCCTCTCGGTGGAATCTGGCTCTGGCTCCCTCTGCTCTTGACCTGGCTCACCCCCGAGGTCAACTCTTCATGGTGGTAAGTACACGCGCGCGACCGCGGGGGTATTTTGGAGATCGGAGTGGGGACCTCATTGGCCACATAGACCCTTCCTGGCTGCGTTTCCCCGCGGCCGCAGCAGTCTCGGATTCTGGCCCGAACCCTGGCTACTGCCCTCTTATCGCCCCGTGGTGAGCCCCTTCTCTTTTCCCGGAAGATCATTTCAGCTTTGACAACTCCATAAAACCACATTCCCCCACCAAATGAGAGTTCCGATGTTTGGTTTATTTGGATCCAGCTGAGCGACAGCAAAATCAGCCAATTTCTTATCCTGTTGAGAGACGCGCTAGCCCGGTCTCCAGCTCTAGCACAGACGTGTGTGTGTGTGTGTGTGTGTGTGTGTAAATTCACCTTGAAAACTACAACCGCCTCCCCCGCCCCACCCCCCTCCCAAAACTGCCTCAAGGTAAATCGACGGGCCAATTCAGGCAGTCAGGAGTTGTAGAACCCAAAGCGTGTGATTTTGTATTATTTCCCGTCCTTCCACATTCCAGGTTCACCCCAGTGGGGCGGAAGAACATTTTGCTGCCTCCAGGTAGAGACTATGGCTTTAATGCAAAGCTACAACCCTGGGTCTGTCTCTAAGATGTTACCCTGTTCACAACCGTCCCCGCAAAGAGTAACTTTGCTGCTTTCCTTTGTACTTTGGTCTGCAATTTATTTATTTTTGCATAGTGATGGAATGTTGAACCATAACAGGTCGCTAAAAGTTCCAAAGGCAGATTCCCTCCCCATCTAGAAACTGTTCTTCATCTGCCGACTTTCTGGTCTTGGAAAGAGATAGAGTTGATAGCCCTGTAATTTCCTTGCACCTAAAAGTTTCAGAACAGATATTAAAATAATTGATTCAGAGAGACCCGTTATTGTGGGCTAATTTTTAAAGAATCTGGTAAGGGGTCTCAGCTCAATTACAGTCTAGAGCAGGGAAATGTTTAGGAAGACACTGGAGCTCTTCAAAGGAGCAAGGCAATGCGCTGATGGGAAGAGGGGTTCAATTCCTTCCTAAGCCGGCTTTGAACAGGGAGGCGTTTAGCCTTGACATTGCTGACACAGGATCAAAGATTGATTTATCAGACTGACCATTTTTCAATAAAATGACTATTTCTGTTTCCATGGGTGTATAAACATTATTTATTGCTCGGGCTTTTTGTCACATTGTCTCTCAGCTGTCACTTAAATATATTTTTTGGAAGTCACAGCTGTAACGATTTTATGATCATATAAAATAATGAAAATACAAGAAAAAGACATTCTCCTTGTTTGATCGCTTCAAAAGACACCTATGGCAGCTTGGGTTATATAAAAGGTACCTTTCTAAACATTTCACGACTAATAGAGAACATCTGGGTAGAGATGATGATGTAATTTTTTGTTAAAGTTTCTTTTCAAAAAGTACTTTATGGAGCTATAACACTGTTTGATTCTTCCAAACATTTAGTGTCCTTAATAACAATAGAAAGAATTTTTTCCAAAGGATCTTTATAAAAGCCAAAAAGAGCTACAAAATGGAAATGTTTAAAAGGCTCTTCAGTAAGGAAAGAACAGCCTGTCTGTGAGGAGAGTGTAACATCAGATACCAGCAGGTGTTGATTAGACAGATACAGACAGTTCTTAAGACATTCTGTCAAATAAATGGGAACGAAGAGCTTCTAAGGTCAGCTTCCCTCAAAGCCAAGTCCAGACACATTGTGTCACTGAGATCTGAACCTTCTTGAGAAAAGTCTTCCACACATTCTCCCTAAGACACATTGCTTCTTACCCATCATTCATTTCTCCAGATGCCGACCTTGCCTCTGTCCCCCCGCCCAGAGCATCATCTGGTGGACCTAGCTTCATGTCCAACAGAAGTCATCACAGCATTTTGGGGATGACTTCTGCAAGATCACTCACTATGCCTGCCTGCCTTGGCTGTTTCTCCACTACATTAAAAAGTAAAAACCCTTGCTCTCTAATACCACCAGAAGGATAAGGAATTCATATTTGAAAAGTGCTTTGAACTCCTTAGTCTCCCAGGAGCACCGAGTCAGGCCTCTCTGTTCACGTTGCCCTCACCTCTGTGTTGGTTTGTCCCTTATAGGTACATGAGAGCTACAGGTGGCTCCTCCAGGGTGATGTGCGATAATGTGCCAGGCCTGGTGAGCAGCCAGCGGCAGCTGTGTCACCGACATCCAGATGTGATGCGTGCCATTAGCCAGGGCGTGGCCGAGTGGACAGCGGAATGCCAGCACCAGTTCCGCCAGCACCGCTGGAATTGCAACACCCTGGACAGGGATCACAGCCTCTTTGGCAGGGTCCTACTCCGAAGTAAGTCCCCTGCCTTCACCCAGCCCTATGGCTCTCTACTCATGCACAGCTCCCTCACCCTGTCTTCAGAGACCCTGCTTATCTTCTATTGCATTTTCTTCCGTCAGAAGTTTGTTCTGTTGGGCGTCATTGTCCCTGTTTTATAGGTGAGGACTAGAGAAATCAAGGAACATGTCTAGAGGCTTACAAGAGGTGAATTAAAAGGAAGAAGTAGAACCCCAGGTTGTTGTCTTTTCACTCTTTGCTCTGTCCATCCCTTCAATACGACACATCCTCCAGGTTCAGATTTCGTCTCTAAGAGACGAGAGAAGGAGCCACAAGTCTCTTTTGACTGTTTCCTTGTCTTTCTGGGGCTTCCTTCAGAAGAATTTGAGCAGATCATCAGGATAGAATCTTCAAATCTTTTCTCAGCAAAAGATGATCAGCATTGCAAAAACACCACGTAAGTGTTATTAAGAAGCAGAGACAAATCTCTACTCACCACTTTTCACCTTCCATTCAGCTACTCAGCCTTGAGTCACTCTGTGACTAAATTCAACATTTTTCCTCCCAACAGATTGTAAATTCTTTAAGAGCAGAAACTAACCTATATTCCCTGTACCTTGCTTGGTGCCTTGTGTATTGCGGGCCCTGTCCATTCATTATGATGAATGAGTGGATAAACTTGTAGTGGGTACTTATTATTTTCCAGTTACATTTTAAGCAATAAGGATAGCTATGGGGGATAGAGGTGGGAAACATGAATCCATAGAGGTTTTTTCTTCCTTAACAGGAACCTTAAACATGTTCTAATTACGTAGCAAACTTCTTAAAAGTTCTGAATATGGAAAGTAGCTTGCTAGCTAATGCAAAATTAAAGAAAATTAATTGAAAATCATATTTTATTTTCAAATAATGCCCATCTGCTAACCTGGCATTATTAGCATTCTCCAAGAACTACCACAGCCCATTTGCTATTAGAAAATCTGACTGATAACACAGCAGTTTATGTGCAAACCCCCAAAATAGGAAACTTTATACTTGTTTTTTGCCTACCCCCCCCCCCCAATTCCTAAGAAAATCATCCGGAATGTGCACTTGGTAATGCTTAACAGAGGGTGTTTCTATCATGTAATCATCACAGCCCTAGGGTTTTATGAGGCCAAATGCATAACTGAATGTCTCTAAAATCCCCCAAGGGCGTAGTACTCTCATTCTTAGAGTATCCCTAAAGTTAATTTACTGCAATATTCTGCAATTTTATTCTCTAGTTTAAGAACTATATTCTTCTGCATTCCTTTTGGAGTTTCGATATGACATCGCAAATTTTTGAAAGGTTAATAATAAATTTCAGCTCCATGGAATTTTAAGACTTCACCTAGATTATCTCACAGTGAATCAATTAAAGAAACTGGACCTTGTCAAAGAGAGTTTGCAAATATCTAGAACAAGTAATCTTTGGATAGATTATGCATGGCTCTCAGTGTTTAAAACGTATCAGGATTTTTTTCAAAGTGCTTACAACCACTTTGCAATGATTTCAAATTAGATATGCATCTCATTTATAATGTGATCATCTCTGGATGTATTAAGGTGTCTACATCTTTGAATAAAACCTTTAGATCACATATCAAAGGAAGCAATATTGACCAGTGATCCTAAAGAAACTATATCCATCAAAGCTGGGGATTCATTCATAAAATACTGTAACTTAATCTTGACACTATTAGTTTCTTCAGAGCTATAAAATTGCTGAGAGGAAGGAGGTTAGAACTAGAGGCAACAGCCAGGCTCACTCCTGTAATCCCAACACTTTGGGAGACCGAGGTAGGCAGATCACTTGAGGCCAGGAGTTCGAGATCAGCCTGACCAACATGGTAAAACCCCATGGGTGTGGTGGTACATGCCCTTAATCCCAGCTACTTGGGAGGCTGAGGCATGAAAATCACTTAACCTGGGAGGAGGAGGTTGCAGTGAGACAATATCTTGCTGCTGCATTCCAGCCTGGGTGACAGGACTGGAGGAAACAGAACTAGTTTAACTTAGTCTAGGCCCCAGGTAAATAAGAGATTCTAACTCATACTTCCGTCAGATTTTTTTTCAAATGAAGCAGGATACTTTGCTAAAGTACTCAGAACTTAAACCACTCATGCTACACAATTTCTTTCCATTCTTCACAGAAGGCCAGGTTCCCTCTCAAACATTTATGCAAACTATTATGACTGTCAGTGATGATTTTGTGTTGGTTATGGGAGGGCTGAATTTGGCCTAAAGCAGCTCATCTTGGAAATAATCAAGAAATTCCAATGAAGCTATCCAAAGATTTCTACAATTAGTTGCTTAGAGAGAAAGTTACATCTTAGAGTTGTGGACACCTAAATATGCTCATAGATGAATAGGAAAGGCAACAGGCAAGACCATTTATAAGAAGAACATAAAATTACCAAAATGTCCCATGGTCATAGAGAAATGGAGAAAATTTGCCTGTTTGGCTTTAGAGAGTCAGAGTAAGACAGAACAATTTTTAGAAACATTTGTAATTTACTCATTCAACAGACAGTTACCAGTCACAGGCAGAGAAACAAGGACAGAACTAGCAGATCTAAAAATATTCCTGCAAGAATGCACCTCCAAAATTCTAGAATTAGCCTTAGAAAACACAAAGGTAATTAGGTCTCATCCTTATAAATATTTTTTTATAAAGCAAATACTTTAAAGAGAGTCAAACAACCCATAACCTTCAAGAAACCCTAGCTTCTAGAGTTTTGCCTTCCTAGGTAACAATCCCTCTACCCCAAATAAAAACTGTGCCTATGTACTTAACAGACATTGCTTGATTTATCTCCATACAAAAATTAGAGAAACTTCAATAGCAACACATTGGGAAATGTAGATGTCACCACTTAGATTTGGATTTTGTTTCATTTTGTGATAGCTTTAAAAAGAATCTTTCTAAGAAGCGGCCCAAGATCAAAATTTGTTTTGTTACAAAGCCAGCTCTTGAAATGTGCTACTACTTCACACATAACATTTTAGTGATTCATCTAAACACTTAACTGAAAACATCTTAGGGCTATATCTACATGGTACCAAACCATCTGGAGGTAAAATGAAAAACCCAGTCAATGTGCTAAATTTTTAATTTAAATAAAGGAACATTTAGCTATTTAGTAATGTGTTTGAATAATAAATGACAAATATTTAGAAAAGTCATATTTTTACTTTGGAAATTATTTCTGAAATGAAGCAGATTGTGATTTGTTTGCTTTCAGTCAACATGTAATTGTTTCCAAGTTATACTAGGATGAATTCTGCACCTAGACAATTTATTTCTCTTGTTGCTTTCAAAGTACTGTCTGGTTACCTGATATACTATCATCCCCATCTTCCATGCCTTTCCCGTAACAGACCACCTCATAAAATGTCTCTTCTTTCTCCTTAAAAAATAAGACTAGTGCTACATACTTCAGCTTTTGGGAATTTCCTCCTCTATGTGATCTCTCTAAACATGGGCACTGGCTTCTAAATCCCAAATGAAGCTTTAGAAGATAAATGGGGTAACTATGGAAAAGGTATTTTCCTAAACTGTAAAATGGATATAATAAAAGTTTTATTTATCTGAAAGCCACTACCTGAGATTAAGTCACATTAGCATGTATTAGTCACCTTCTTTTACAAAACATCTCAATTCCACTTAGAATATCTGTGATCTATATAGTATAAGCTGGGACTCTTTAAAATAGCTCTCATAACCATCATATTTCCTCTGGGGAGGACTACCTGCTACCTATGGCGAATAGTCATGTAATTGATTTTACCTAACTACAGGGCATGATTGATTCCTTTTTTGATGGTTAGAGGTTTGGGGGGTAAATATTTTCTGAAGGCTGAGGTAAGTGCCATTTAATATGGTGTAGATATGTTTTCCTGATTTTTAATAATGAGACTAGCAGAGCAAATATTGCAAGGGACGTATAATAAATTTTAACACTGAATGACAAACGGAAACAAGCAGGGCTTCAATGCGAAAAGGTGGTTTGCTCTCCCAGCTGTGTGGTTCAAAAAGTCACACTCCTCTTGACATATTGAATCACCGAATGGTTCTCTGTTTTCTGCCTTGCATTGGCATTAGGTTGTCCAGCTTCTATTTTGATTGTTAATATATTTGCTGCAGCAACCATTAATAAAAGGGCATGCTAATAACAATGAAATACAGCTCCACTTGAAAAATGAGGTGCACACGGACCCTAAAGAGCCTTATATCTGTCACTATACCACAACACCGTGTTATGAGTTACTACAGATTATTAAAATAATTTAATGTAGTTATTGCACTGAAATATGTACCTTTCAGCCTGTAAGTGAAAGTAGCCTGTGCTCTAATAAAGAACAATTCTAAGAAAGCACCCCAAAGGGTTCTTGCCCAAGTCTAATTATAGGCGGTAAATTTGTTTCCTTCCAGAAAAACCAAAGAAAAACTTTTCACTGTCTTTTACCCAATACCAGTGATTAGTGCAGGTGTTCCAGAAGAAAGTAAATTCACCTTAATAGTTCGACATATAGTATGTAACTCAAGGATATTGCATATTGCCTTCAGCAATCTCTCAATTACTTATGAAAGTCAATGCCAAGCCAAAGCTCTCCCGTGTTAATGCAAGGGGCTGGTTACTGCCAGAATTCTCTTCCCACCTTGGTCCCTAGATTTCTTTGAATTCAGTATTTCATTCTCAATAATTTAAATGCATATGAGTATCTTCAGGAAGTCTTGGAGGTTTGGAAGGATTTTTTGAGGAAAGCTGTGGTGCCATGAGTTCCCAACTATATTGCGGAATGATAGAATTGTAGCATTCAGACTGTAAAGTAAAGAAAAAGGCCTAGAGATGCTATGCTCCTCTCTTCTAGGACATCTGGAGCTCTCTGTTGAAACAGGGCAAGCCTGTTTGAGACTAATGTGAAGCCAGGAGCTGGGCAAGGCCATCTTTTTCTTTGATACTCCTTATTTAAGAAGAGCTGCCATATAGATATCTAAATTGACAAAAACTTCTATTAGATAGAGATGATTCATATTAAAGAAAGAGCCCAGGCTCTGGAAAAGAACCCTTCAAGAATATCAGTACCTTGTTGTCTAGTGGCAAAGGTTGTCTGAAACAGAGCAAGTATTAAACAATTATCATATGAAAGTTATTCAGAAATAGTGCTACCGGACCACTTTTAAGAAAAGCATTTTTGTTTCAGGTAGTCGGGAATCTGCCTTTGTTTATGCCATCTCCTCAGCTGGAGTTGTATTTGCCATCACCAGGGCCTGTAGCCAAGGAGAAGTAAAATCCTGTTCCTGTGATCCAAAGAAGATGGGAAGCGCCAAGGACAGCAAGGGCATTTTTGATTGGGGTGGCTGCAGTGATAACATTGACTATGGGATCAAATTTGCCCGCGCATTCGTGGATGCCAAGGAAAGGAAAGGAAAGGATGCCAGAGCCCTGATGAATCTTCATAACAACAGAGCTGGCAGGAAGGTACGGAAATGCAACGGTGTTCATTTTGTAGGCTGCATGGCTTTATAAACCACTTAGGCAGAGCTTATTTTAAACTTTCCTAGAATTGATAAAATGCTGTGTAGTCACAACTTCCTACTATCCGCTAGCCATTTGCGGTTTGTTCTGAAGAATACCAACAACTAGGTTGAAATATTCCCACCCACACTCCACCTTCCTTCCTACAGCTAGTTGAAGGAGTCCACCCATTGCGTTTGGCATTGTGTTGATTCAAGTCTTTTATGGTCCCTCTGGACACTAATCATTTAAGCAGAAGATACGATCTGTGGGTTAGGATAGTGCTTCATCCTACATAGCAACGGTACATTGAATGCTTATATCTAAGGGATGTAAAGACCCAGAGCATCTTTTCTTACATGTATCATGAGAACAACTCACCAAGCATGATTCGTTGGCTTCTTCTAGATTTAGGGATGCCCTCTTTTGGAACCTGACCCAAGTCTCACTCATAAAAGCCCCACCTTGTTGTTTCTGGTGCTGGATAAGTGAGTGGACCAGGGGAAGACATGATCCCCGAAGGGTATTCTGTCCCCTTCTCCTCTAGACCTGATTAACTTCCTGGGCTCCAGTCAGTGTTCCCCCTCTAACCACCATTTGTTAAATGAGGAAACTGAGGCCCTCAAGGTACTCAAGGTCACAAGGAAGTTAGTAGAAAGGACTAGAAAGTCAGGTTTCAACACCTAGTCCAGGGGTGCTTTACCCTAGGATTAAACCATTTCAATGCCAATGTTCCGACCCATTGATGACCCATGTCTTTTGGTATGGTGGTATGACCAGAATAACTACAGAATGTAATGCTGTACTTGATACTTTTGTGTGGAAAGCATTAACTGGCTGGGTGAATCAAATATTTGTTCAGAACTATTCTAGAATAATCTAATTGCCAATAGGAAGAGATAACCATAATTTGTCTTTTATCACCACAACATAAAAATATGTTTGATATTAATATATGAAGAAAAATCAGCATAAAATTGAATGGTCCCTGGGGGGGGCTTTAATAGGAAAAATAATAGAAAAGAATGGATGAAAACCCCTTTACTAGGCTCCTGGAGAGAACAAATCTCATTCAAAGGAAGTTGGAAGGAAAGAACTCTTGCTTAGCACATGGTATAACATGAGTGTGACCTGAACTGTTTACAAATAGTACCTTTCTTGAACTTTAAAAATCAACATTCCTAATTTTCATGAATTTATGAACTTACAGTCACTACTGCCAAGAAAATAGACTATGGTTTTGCAATCCTACAACTATTGGTAATTACCGTTTGTGCAATGATTTGGATAAAAAAATTTACACTGACCTTTGTCCTAACATTGATAGTGCATGTATAAGTTATAAAGTGTGGTGTCTTTGATAGGAGTGTGCTGCTTAATCATTCAAACAGGGTATATGGTAGATTTCTCTATTTGGAAAGATAAAAGCATATGGTCAGATATTGTATCCAAAAGAACATTGACTTATCAAAATAAATGTTAATTTCACTAAATAGGTCATTAGATATTGAATGTTTCAACTCTTCAAGACAATAGATCATACCTATTATATTTTAGGCCCTGAATAAACACAACTTTTAATGTAAATCACATGATTCTTCACCATGTAGAGGTGAACAGCTGTCAGGCCTCAGATATTCTCCTGCCTGCTCTGCAAAACTTAGGAGGCTACTTTTGATTGGAATAAAAGTGCACACGCTGACTTTTTAAAATGTGGCTTTAATTAATGGTGGGTGGGCAGACTTTTTCAAGGAGATGCATGATGTCAGTGAATATGAACTTTAATGAGAGTAAATGTATTGAGATAAACATGCGTCTCTAATTCTCTTCTTGCGGTCATTAGACCCCCAGTCTCTACTCCCCCTTCGTACTAGCAGAAGGTCTGTGGAATCCAAATGAGAACAGGCTGGGCTTGTGTTTGAAGGCAGGCCTCCTGAGCTAAGCCTCCAACTGGCTTGGCTCTAGGCTCTAGAAAGCCCCCACCTCCCAGGGCTGACGGTAACATCAGTCCACTTTGTTTCTTCTTCTCTGTGCTTTTCAGTATTTTCCAAATTGGCCAATATGAACATCTACTTTTTAAACTGGGAGAGGTAGGGGAGAGCAATAAATTTTATTTTTAAAACACCATCTATTCTGAGATTGTTCTGTTTAGCTAATGTTAAAAGTCAGAATTCATCACTGCCATTCACCACGGGCCTTAATTTTTCCCCAATATTTGAACAATTTATTTATTATAGCAGTTGGTTAGAGCACCCTCATGTGTCTCTGTACTGTAATATCATTTTAGATCCTCTGTGCTATATCATTTATTTTAATCACAGTTTCAGCAGAATTTATAATGATTTTTTTCTTCCATGTTTACTTGAATGCTCATCCTTGATTGAGTCTAGTTTTCCACCTCCAATTAGGACTATGAATAAGTACCAAAAAGATAAGCCTGTCTTGTTCAAAACAAATATTTTATCAAGAAGGAAATTCTATAACATCCTTCAGCAGCTCTGTTTAGGTCTAAAGAAGCCATGCTACAAAAACTTCCAAATTATATTTTAAGATATTTTTAGGTAAATTACATGCAAAAGGTCAACATCTGCCATTTATTTCCTTTAATGAGCTTGTAAACAAGCACTTTTTAAATTTGTCTACTCTTCCAGCCTGGGCAACATGGTGAAACTCTGTCTCTACACAAAAATACAAAAAATTAGCCAGGTGTGGTAGTGCTACTACCACAGCTATTCAGCTACTATTCCCAGCTACTCAAGAGGCTGAGGTGGGAGGATCACGTGAGCCAAGGAGGTTGAGGCTGCAGTGAGTCTTGATCGCACCACAGCATTCCAGCCTGGGTGACAGCACGAGACCCTGTCTCAAAAACACAAAACAGACAAACAAAAAAGTTAGTTCACTGTTTCTTCCAAGATGAAATAATGAAATAATCACAACTTCTTTAAACGTTCCTAAGGGAATCTGTATCAAAATAACTCATGTTTCCAATCTTACTGCCCTTCCATCACTCTGAAAGTTTCTATAAGAGTAAGAATTTCCACAAGAATAAGAGGAATTCCATGAAAATGCTTTCCCTAAAAGGTGCCTCTAACTGAAAAATAGAAAAGAACATGGGACTTCAAATCAGATGCACCTTGGTTCTAATCTTACAATATCAGTGGCTTTGCTCACTGAATTGTTTTTCTCATGTATGAAAGGGCATTTTGTGGTGCTACAGGAAGACAAGTGTAAGGCAGATAGCACAGAACCTGGCATGTAATAGATGCTTAATAAAAGTTCCTTTCCCTTCTGTGAAGTTAAGATTATTTGTAAGTCAGGTAACAGAGCTAGGCAGAAGTCCATCCACCTGGAATTATTATTTAGGATTCAATCTGATCACTCCATCTATCTATAGAGTCATCTTCTATTCAGTTAACATACTTATAAAACCAGACATATAGTATTTTTCAATTTACAAAATACTGTCAAGTGTTTTATAATTTGATCTTTCCAAAACCCCTGTAGGAATAAAAAAGAGCATTCATATTTCTACTTTTCAGATGAGAAACTGGCCCTGAGAGGGATAGAGAGACTAAACCAGGGTCATAGAATCACAGAGTACTAGATCCTGGGAGTTCACATCCGCCCCTGTTCTCCCATGTGCCCTTATCTACATTTCCATATTGCCTTTCTTGAGTATTTCTGAGGAAACAAACAATATTTCTATATGTACGGGGGGAAATCCAGTAAACTACCCTTGGAAGGTAGTTTACTGATGATTTTTTTCCTTTGTGTGTGTCTTCACACATTTTCTAAAATGAATGTGTATTGGTTTTTAATGGCAAGGAAGAGTTGTTGTAAGTGCTGAAAACTGAACAGCCAGTCATTGTGAGCACACCCAAACCACCTTAACCTTTTTGGAGGATTCACAAAATTTCAACAAACGGCACTGCAACATTCAGAGCTCTGTTCTTGTATTTTGGGACTAACTTTGGTTCGACAGATCATTTATTAAGGAATTACTTTGGGAAAGGCATCCATTTTGGTGCTAAATCAGTGTGGAAAAGAATAAAACAAAGCAGCCCCTGACCATAAGAAACTAAATTTTAGTCAAGGAGACAAGTGTAATACAATTGCAAGGCAAGCAATGCTATGTGGTATAATAACATCATCAGCCACATGGCCAGTTAGCTGAGGAGATAATGGTTGTATCAAAAAAAGAACTGGGTGTTTGAGCTGGAGATAAAAGATTTCCCATGGTTGAGATAGGGAAAGCACTTTCCAGGATGAAGGGACTTCAAGACAAAGACAGATGTTGGAGCAGGAAGTGTATCATAAAGTTGAGGAATACAAGAACTCTAGGGTGGAGTTCAAGACTGAGAGTTAATGGGAACTGAGGCTGAAAATTTGAGTCCCAGCCAGATCTGGAGTCCTTTATTTATTTATTTATTATTTTTTTTGTGTGTGACAGGGTCTCACTTTGTTACCCAGGCTGCAGTGCGTGCGGTGGCGCAATCTCGGCTCACTGCAGCCTGGACCTCCTGGGCTCAAGCGATCCTCCCACCTCAGTCTCAGTAGCTGGGACTGCAGGCACATGCCACCATGCCTGACTAATTTTGGGTGTCTTTGCTTGTTTGTTTGTTTTTCGGTAGAGATGAGGTTTTGCCATGTTGCCCAGGCTGGTCTCGAACTCCTGGGCTCAAGGGATCTGCCCAAGTTGTCCTCTCAAAGGATTACAGGCCTTGAGCCACGGCACCCGGCCTGGAGAGTCTCATATACTGTGCAGAGACATTTGGATGCCACCGGGAAGACAAGAGGAAGGCATTGAACAGTGGGAGAGAAAGTTAAATACTTAAGTTTAATTTTCATGCATTTGTTAATTTCTCTAGAGTCCACTTTGATAGAGTGATAGCTATCAAAGTTCAAACCTTCTGTAATAAGTTTGAATTCATGACTTAAAAAATTAACTGGGCAAGGTGGCATGC